TGCCCAGCCCCCGCCCGGCCCCCGCCTGGCCCCGCCGACTCACCGCATCAGCTGCTCCTCCGCCAGGCTGCGGTTGCTGCCGTCCAGGGCTCTGCGCAGGTCCCGCTGCTGCCGCCGCTGCTCCCGCTCCAGCAGCAGAGCCACACGGGCGCTCTGAGCCCTCTGCCGGGCCCAGGCCCTGTCCCGCTGTGACTCTTCCTCCTGGAGCCTCTGCAGGGAGCAGAGGTGACTCATCACCACCCGTCCCCACGGAGGCGCCCCGGGGAATGGGCTCGGAGAACCGGCCTTCACTCTCGGGTGGGGGAACCGAGGCTCGGGTGGGTGGGCAACGCCGTGCAGGAATCAGGGCAGGCCCACCCTACCGACCCAGGTGGCCCCGCTGGGAGGCCCCGGGCACCACCAGTGGGCAGGCTGCTGCTCCGGGCTGACCACCAGGACCACCTAGTCGCCTCTAGAACCTACGGAGGCTGCAGCCCCACCAGGGACCATGGGCTCATGATCTCGGGGGTGAATGTCTACATCTCAGCTCATTTCTCGTTCCCTTCCAGACCCTTCTATAAAAACCACTGACTCCTAGGAGAGGAAAATGGATTAATGCGGCCCGGAGAGGTCAGCCCCTAACCATGGGCAGTGTCATCAGCCGTCCTGAGTGACTGTCAGCTCCGCTATCTCCACCCTCCCTTCCTGTGTGGGCAGGAATGGGGGTTGGGAGGGGAGCCCCACGGGCTGCCACACTGACACACCCACTCTCACCCCGCCCCCGCGAGCTTCTGTCCACGCCAAGCCTCAACTAGTGCCCTCAGCCCCCTGCTCTCCTGCTGCCAGGGGACGGCTCCAGAAGTATCTCCTCCATGCATCGCTCTCGTGGGTGACAAGCAAGCTGCTATTTCTATGACCAGAAAAACAATTAAACAACGTTCCCGTGAGCCCATGTCCCCCACAAGCTACCACCCCGTTTCTCTGCACCCTTTACAGCAAAACACCGTGAGAGAGTTGTAAGCTTGTCTCCACTTCCTCCCGCTCGCTCGTGCTCTTCCCCCATCAGACAAGCTGTCGCCTCCAGCCCTCGGCCACAGATGCTCCCCACGGAGTCCCAGCGTCCCGTCCGCAACCCAGCAAGGGTGTCTGACCCCGGGGTTCCCACTCCTTCCGAAACGCTCCCCTCACTTGGCCTACACATCACAAAGGCTCCCTCTCTCCTACCCCTTAGCTGCTCCTTCTTGGGCCCCTTTGCTCTTTATAAACGGAGAGGGAGGGTCCCAGGACTCAGTCCTTGGATGTTGTCTCCTCTCTACGCTCATTCCCTGTGCGACCCACCCTGGTTCACCGCTTTAAATGCTCTCTCAGTGGTCATGACTCCACGTTTATGTCTCCAGCCCAGACCTCGCTCTGAGCTCCAGAAGATACATCCAGCTGCCCACTGGGCAGAAAATATCACTTGTCCCTGAGTAGCCACTTTCCTTCTTCCTAACGGAAGTCACTGCCTGGAGTAAACACTATGCTTCCAGGCTTCTTAAAGTCAGGGACCACACTGACCAAGTGCTGGCCAATGAATGACAGTGTCCTTAGAGGGTTCTCCCCTGATCCTTCCTCCTGCTCACTGGAGTGTACGTGTGATGGCAGGAGCTCAAGCAGCCACCCTGCAGCAGGAGGTGGGAGCCAGGTGCTGAGGATGGCAGAACTGAGTCGACCACGGGACTGCCGTATCAGCCTGCGCTGTTTTCCTAAGGATGCGTCTGCATGCGAGATGAAATTCTACTTTAAGATACTGTTGTTTGGGGTTCAGCATGTTCAGGAAGCTGAATCCTAGCAGACTTGGATGTCTAGTGGACACTGCACACTTAACATAACTCGAATTGCACTGATCCCCACTTCCCCTACCCACCTACTGCTCCAACAACCTTTCCCACCCCCATAAGTAACAACTCCATCCTCTGGTACTCAGGCCAGGGCCCGGAGTAACCCTTACCTTGTCTCTCATATGCATGCCCGACAGACCCTCCAACCACTCCTGTGGGCTCTGCCTTCAAAGTAGATCCAGAACCAACCACCTCTCAGCACCCTCGCCACCAGTGCCCCGGGCCCAGCAGCATCAGCTCTCACCAGGACTGTGCAACAGCCCCCCCTGCCCCCCAAGGATCTTCCTTCTACCCTCTCTTCCCTCTGGCATCCAACCTCAACACAGTGGCAAAAGGGATCCTGTCAAATGTAAGTCAGATGATGTCACTCCTCTGCTCCACACCCTCCAGTGTCCTCCATCAGTCACAGAAAAAGCCAAACTCTTCCCGATGCCCACCAGGCCCTCGACCCTCCACCTCCCGGACTTCCTCCAGGCCCTCCCCTCACTTACTCTGGCCAGCAGGCTCCCTACTCTTCTCTGAACAGGTCAGATGGTCCTGCCTCACGGCCCTGGCCTTGCAGTCACCCTGCCTGGTTGTCCTTTCCCCAGGCGTTGGTGTGGCTCTCTCCCTCCCCCACTCAGGTCTCTGTTCCAATGTCACACTCCTCCATCCCCCGGTGACCCCCCTCTGCCCAGCACCCTCCATCTCCTTCCCCCAGCCTTACTTTTCTCCCTGGCACTCACCATCCGAGCTACATCACACGTGAACAAGATTAGCCAGCCTTTGTCACACACACCCCCCCGAAACGTAAACCCCAAGAGCAGCTGTGACTAGATGCCCCCGCACAGGACAGAGGTGGGAAGGGAGGGGGCAGGCACCAGCTTCTCCTGCACTTGCTGCTTCTGCACCAGGCGGATCTCCTCCAGCTGCTCACGGGTCATGCCCTTCCAGCGGTCAGGGGCCACGCGGTGGGGCCCGAAGGAGCTGGCTGCCTGCTGAGGGTCTTCAGAGAGCAGGTCCCCGCGCAGCAGGCTGGAGATCTCGGCCAGGTTGTCCTCTTGTTCTTGCTTTTTCTCCAGACTTTTCCTTTCCGCCAACTCCGAGGCCTGGGCAGGGGCAGACATCAGGGGAGATGCTCCAAGTGACCCAGGGGGACAGGCCCAGGCCCGCAGATCTCCCTGGGGGTCCCTGCAGGGAGAATGGGCTAAAGGGCAGCGGACAGCGGGGCGGCAGACTTGGCAGGCAGGGCTGCAGGCTGTGCGCTGGGCTGAGGGGGTCGCCACCTGCTGGCTGTGTGCAGAGTAGCTTCAGATCTTCCCACCATTTGGCCAACGTGGAGAGGGGCCCCCCTGGCAAAGACATCATGGCCCCTTCGCTTGGCTCACTCACCCCGGGACAGGGCTCTATGCCCCTCCCTGTGGCCCTGGTCACCCTGATATGGCTGCAGGCCACAAAGAACACCCAACAGAGTGATTCGGGACCGTGGTGACTTCAAAGGTGAAAACACATTGTCACCACAGTGCTCCTGGCGCAGCCAGAGGCCGGGTACCAGTAACTTCCTGGTTCAAATCCCTGCTCAAGTGAGGGTGGTTCAGAGCAAATGGCCCCGGCCATGTGGCCTACGAGTCACCTCCCCTCTCTGGGCTGCAGTCGTTTCTCTGCCAAGTCAGGGATTGGATTAGACATTCATCAGTGTTACCAGTTCTCTTTAGTGATGGGCAGACAGGGCACTCGGCAAGGTGCCAGGCGCACCGCAGTGAGGTGGCAACTCAATGGCATCACATAAGTACATGGTTTGCACTGGACAGGCCAGGTTCAAACACTGGACTTGCAGGGTTTGGAAGCGCCATGTTTGAATTGGCCAAAGCAAATCAGATGAGTGCTTGGGTATCCCTAGGAAAGGCAATTCCCTCTGAGCCTGTTTCTTAATCAACTAAATTGGGTTAGTCATACCCCTCTGGTAGGGTGTTGAACACATTGACTAATGAGACCAGCTAGCTGTGGCTAGGGTTAAAAATAACAGCCACCGTTGATGAGTTCTGAAAACGTGCTCAAGGTTCCAACACGTGACGTGCATTTCCTAGTTTAATCCCACCACCTCACCAGCGAGTGTGATCGAATTACTGCTGGTCACGAAACAAGGCCAGTGCTCTTTCTGGGCACGTGGCAGAACTGTACCTCCCGCCTGCTGAGTGAGTGTGGCCCTGTGGCTGACTCTGGCCAATGCAGTGTGAGCAGAGGTGACTGGGACACTTCTGGAAGGACACAGTGGG